CGGCCGCGATCGCACAATACGCTAAAAAAACTTCTGAAGCTTCCCTCTCCCTCTGTTGTTGACTGTTGGTGTGATAATTATATTTTTTTTCACTGAGAAAACAAACAGCAACCCTAAAACTTGCACCAGACATGCGGAAATAATAACAAAACATTTACGAATCAATAACGAATCAATTCCGAAACAATTACGAAACGAATTGGAAAAATTCGTTTCGTTTTTTAGTTGCTCCTGAATGGTTCAATATCGCTTCGTTATAAAAAAACGAATTTTTAACGAATTACGAAATTACGAAACAAAACCGCCCAGCCCTATTTCCAAGCTCTGATGCCATAACCTTAGACACTTTGACTTTCGACTTCATCACATGGTGCAATTTTCCAGCCTCTGTGGCAAATCAGTGGGGCTGCAGGACAATCCAAACCTGAAACTGTGTTCAAACCTAAAAACAAATTCTACCCCAACACTGATAATATGATGATAAAAACATTTGAAAAAGTTGTGGAACGGGACATTAGCAGACTATCCAAATCCAGGTCCAAAACCTTTCCGAATATGTCTATGACTGAATTGAATACCATTAAAAGACTAGCAAACATGCCACAATATATTTGGAAACCAGCTGATAAGGGAGGGGCGGTGGTATTGCTGAATAGAATTGACTATGTTAAGGAAGTAGAAAGACATCTCTCTAACAACATGTTCTATAAATGTATTCCTAAGGATCCCATTAATAAAATTAGATCCCTTATACGTACAGTATGTGCTGAAGGTCTCTCACTGGGATATATTTCATTACAGACATATGAGTTCCTTCAGAATCCATACCCCAGAACACCGGTATTTTATATTCTCCCGAAGATTCACAAAAGAACCTTTCCTCCACCAGGTAGACCTATCGTTTCAGGCACTGCATCTATTTTGGAACCTTTAGCTCAGTTTATTGACCATTTTTTGCAACCTTTTGTACCATTAAATACATCATTTATCAAAGACACCAAACATTTCATCAATATAATAGAAGCCCTAACTATACCTGAGCAAGCCATACTCATGACCTTAGATATTGAAGCCCTATATACAAACATACCTTTAGATGAGGCCAGAGCAGTAGTTAAAGATATACTTGACACACGCAAATCTCCAGTTCCTCCCACTCACTTCCTCATGGATTTGCTAGACATTGTGCTAGAATACAACTATTTTAGTTTTGATAAACAATTTTATTTACAAACATTCGGAATCGCTATGGGTAGCCCACTTGCACCCGCTATAGCCAATTTATTCGTTGCATACTTAGAAAATAAATTCATCTTTAATACCACTAAGAATCCATTTTCTTCAGATATCCTTTATTTTGGAAGGTATCTAGATGATATATTTACAGTAGTGAGATCACAGTCAGTAGCTGACCTATTCTACAGCTGGATTAATACACTACATAAACACATGAAATTTACACACCACTATAGCCCTACTAATGTTAACTTCCTGGATGTCATGGTTTTCAAAAAAGGTCAGAAACTATTAGTGAAAAATTATAGTAAACCTACAGACAAGAATTCCTTTTTACATTTTTCCAGCTTTCATCACTTTTCTCTTAAATCCAATTTACCATTTTCTCAGTTTTTAAGACTGAAACGTAATTCTAGCACACAAAAGGACTTTGAATCTACGGCAGGTATCCTGAAAAAACAACTAAGAGAGAGAGGATACCCTAATAGCATACTCAACACAGCCATGAACAAGGCAAACTCCATCAACAGAGGTGAATTACTACAGGAACGCCCTAGAAAACATAACAACCGCATAATATGGCCCTTGACACTGACACAATATTCATCCAAGATCACTAAGATTATTTCAAAACACTGGCATTTACTACAGGACATTCCTGGATGCAAAGACAAACCTATAATTGCCCATAAAAGATCCAGAAATTTAAGGGACCTTATGATCCACTCTGAATATAACACTCCTAATACATCCCATGAACCTACCACTAGGGGTCACACTAGCTGTGGACACTGTAACTGCTGCCAGCAATTACTTAAGAGTAAAATATACTCTCATCCAACACTCAATATTAATGTCACATTACGACATTTGACAACATGTTCCAGTGATAATGTAGTGTACCTGTTAGAATGCCCCTGCAAATTACTATATGTTGGAATAACTACTAGACCCCTTAAAATTAGGATAAATGAACATCGTTCACGCATTAGGAATGGGTCCACTGACTCTTCATTATATGTACATTTTAATGAAAAAGCACATACACACCATAGCTTTAAATTTTGCGCTTTGGAAAAAATAGTACCCAGACCTAATGCAGATACAAAAAAACTCCTTCTGCAAAGGGAATCTTTTTGGATCTTCAAACTACAAACACTGGTTCCTCTAGGACTAAATGATAAAATTGAATACACTTGTTTCTTGTGAGATGTAATTCTACTTAAGAGACAGCCCAGCTATGACTCACTGCTCGTTACAGAACTCCTACTACAACAGAGCCTGTAGTACAGAACCTGTATTACTGAAGAGAATGTAAGTAGAGTAGCGTGTATCTTTACTGTTATTACAAAATGTTTTTCTAATCTATGTTATTTTGGGGAGTTTCATGTATCTATGTTGTATGTTATTTCTACTCCTTATTTAGTGCACTAAGCATAATAAGATACAGACTACACCCTGAGGAAGATATTGTTCGAAACAAGGATAAACATACCGGAAGACCTTGTTGAGATTTTGTTGCCTATGAAAGACCTTGTTGCCCAAGAAGAATTCCTTGAGACTGTCTTATCAAAAGAAGAATATTTTTTTTGAAGATAAAGATAGAGACTCTGGAATTTCTTCACTGAAAGGATGGACTCTATTACCTTTAGTCTGTTGTTGATTTCTCTATGTTAATGTGCTGATAACATATTTATTTAATGCTATAAAGTCTCAGACAAGTTATGCCAATAGAGAACATAGAATACTGTTGTATATTACTGTCTTGAGAGTCTGCTAAGATTTACATACATACATTTTTGTTCTTTGTCTGCAGGACCATCCCCCAGAGCTGGCCCTGTTGTTCACAACTTAATTTGAGAAGCAGTTATAAATTGGTGATTGGACTTTCAAAAATAGCATGATTGGGATTCTAATGTGGTAGAAAGTTTAATATTTTGCATGTTGAATGGTTCTAACAAAACACAGTAATTGTTTTTGTTTATATTTCATAGAATCAAAGACTTTGAAGAGACCTCGTGGGCTATCCAGTCCAACCCCATTCTGTCAAGATATAGGAACATCACATTCAAAGCACCTCTGGCAGATGGCCATCCAGCCTCTATTTAAAAGCCTCCAAAGAAGGAGCCTCTGCCACACTCTGGGGCAGAGAGTTCCACTGCTGAACAGCTCTCACAGTCAAGAAGTTCTTCCTAATGTTCAGATGCAATCTCCTTTCCTAGTTTGAAGCCATTGTTCCGTGTCCTAGTCTCCAGGACAGCAGAAAACAAGCTTGCTCCCTCCTCCCTATGACTTCCTCTCACATATTTATACATGGCTATCATGTCTCCTCTCAGCCTTCTCTTCTTCAGGCTAAACATGCCCAGCTCTTTAAGCCGCTCCTCATAGGGCTTGTTCTCCAGACCCTTGATCATTTTAGTCACCCTCCTCTGGACACATTCCAGCTTGTCAACATCTCTTCAATTGGTGCCCAGAATTGGCACAGTATTCCAGATGTGGTCCTATGTTATTATTTAAAGGGGGGGGGAGGGGGGGGGAAGAAGAAGAAGAATAGGGGGAGAGGGGGAGGGGGGGGGGGGAGGAAGGAGGAAGGAGGGGAAGGTGTATGAAGGAAAGGATGGAAGAGAGAAGGGAGGGAGGGGGAGACAGAGAGGGGGGATAGATAGATAGATAGATAGATAGATCGATAGAATAGATAGATATGAGAGACAGAGAGAGAAATAGGATGGATGGATGGATAGATAGATAGATAAATAGATAGATAGATAGATAGATAGATATGGATAAATGAGAGAGAGAGTGAGAGAGAGAAATAGGATAGATAGATAGATAGATAGATAGACAGATAGATATGAGAGAGAGTGAGATAGACTGATAGATGGATGGATGGACTGATAGATAAAAAGATAGATAGATAGATAGATAGATAGATAGATAGATAGATAGATAGAATAGATAGATAGATGATATAGATAATAAATAGATAGATGATAGATACACAGATAGATAGATAGATAGATAGATAGATAGATATAGATAGATAGATAGATAGATAGATAGATAGATAGATAGATAGACAGACAGACAGACAAATATGTAGATAGTAGGGCTGTCCAACCACGGAAAAATTTGTTTCTAAAATCGATTCGTTTTTTGGGGGTTTTTGCGTTTCGATTTTTAAAAGAATTCCGAAATTTTTCTTTTAAAAAGTTCGATATTTACGAAATTTCGTAAATTACAAAACAATACGAAACAATTACGAAACAATTACGAATCGATTCGTTAATGGCGGACGCGACCGCGCAATACGCTAAAAAACCTCCAAATGGGACAGGGGGAACTTCTGAAGCTTCCCTCTCCCTCTGTTGTTGACTGTTGGTGTGAGATTTATAATTTTTTTTCACTGATTAAACAAACAACAACTATAAAACTTGCCCCAGACATGCGGAAATAATAACGAAACGATTTCAAAACAATAACGAAATGAATACATAACAAATTTGAAACAATTACGAAACGAATTTAAAAATTCGTTTCGTTTTTTAGTTGCTCCTGAATGGTTCGTTATCGCTTCGTTATAAAAATAACGAATTTTTAACAAATTACGAAATTACGAAACGAAACCGCCCAGCCCTAGTAGATAGACCACCCCTTAATAGAAACCACTTGTGCACAAGTAAACTGGGTTCCAATAAATAGAAAATAATATTAATTATTTTCTCTCATCCCTTTACTCAGCTGATTAATTGTTTGAAAAGGCATACCTTCTTGAATGTATCCTCTGTTAGCTTTACCCCAAACCGCCAAACACCTCCAATGAGAGGAAGCCGAAAAGGCCCTGGGGGATATCGTTTGCAAGACCAGAACTGCTTCAGAAATCTCAGAATCAGGCGTGGAATCAAAGTAACCAAAAATCCAAGTTTCCCCAACATTTTCTTGCTGTCCTCCATCAATGAACCTCCTTAGATAAATGTATTGGTCTTCGAAATATGCTGTTCCGCTTTCTTGAGAGATGTTTCTAGCTGCCACCTCTCCTTGTGTCTGCCGGCATCCTTTTATGCATTCTGTTTCTTAGGACTCCTTATTTAAGTCACCCTGTGGAATCTACTTTCTGACACCTTATTCAAGAAGCCCTGGAATGTGGTCCTCCAGATAGGTATTATAGCACCAAACATAGATGTAAACATAAACACAGTTAATCGCTTTGTAAGTGTCACTCAAATAATTGAGGGGAAGGTTAATATCAAAGGTCATCATTATAACCCAACCCTCCACTAATATAATATCAATTATGTGACACACATATCCTACAAATGAGTTTGCTGTATCTTGCAAACTATATATGGTGTTGTTGTTCATTCATTCAGTCATCTCCGACTCTTCGTGACCTCATGGACCAGTCCACGCCAGAGCTCCCTGTCGGCCATCACCACCCCCAGCTCCTTCAAGGTCAGTCCAGTCACTTCAAGGATGCCATCCATCCATCTTGCCCTTGGTCGGCCCCTCTTCCTTTTGCTTCCTATATATGGTATATAGCTACATTACACTCTCAGATATCTATGGAAAGTTCTTCAAGTGTCTTGAGATGTTTTGCTTTTCCTCACTACCTTCATACATATGTCTCCCCTCAAAAATATTTGTGATTTACAGACAGATTATGAACAAAATAGATTCTGTAGGTTTACTCTTAATTTGTATGTAAGTTGGAACAGGTACATTTTAAGTGTAACTCCCGTCATTTTTTTAGTTCTGTGTAGCATAGAGAAATGTTAATATCCCTGTAATATTTTTTGCTATCTGTTCAGAACAGTGGTTCCCAACCTTTTTCTGACCAGAGGAACATTAGTACCTTAGTTAGGTGATCCCTCTATGCCGCTGCACCTGGGGGCTATAACTCTTAGTGAAAGAGACATAGACATGACATCTTTCCCCCAGGGGATTGCTTCTTGCCTTCCTTTAGAAAACTGGAACTCCCAAGGACCAAAACACTGTAGATAACTCAAAATAGGTTTTATTGTTCACAAAGAGTTATCCCTTTAAGGCAATAAGCTGGAAGTTTCAAAGGGGTAAAGGAAATATACATTACAGTCTCTGGTTGTCTTGGGTCCAAGGAGATTTCGCAGCTGAGAAGCTTTTCCAGGTTCACTCTTTCTCAATGGCTGTAAATGCCTGAACATTCACAGCCCCAATCCAAATGGCCTATATTTGAAGACACAAAGCCTTCCTCTGGTGCCACAGGACCGGTTTGAAGGCACTTGGGTCTCCTCAACGTTGTCCAGGGCGATCTGGGCATGAAGTATGAGTCCCAAGGGTAAAAACCTTAAGAATTGGTGATGAGAGGTAACTTAATTAAGGGCTTTAGAGCCAAGTCTCTTTCTCACATCTATCTGATAGAAAGTTTGATGGTAGAATGGAAAAGGAAAAGCTCTGCCCAAGGATGATCGTCCTCCAAGGGTGGTGTCTTGGCAGTGGGTCCGTAGGTGGCTGTGGAGCCCTATTCTTGATCTGCTTGTTCTCCCACAGTGAGGACATTGGTTTACAGGTGAAAGGCAGTCCCGGTCAAGGTTAGCTTGAGACACCTTCCTCTTGGCACGTTTCTCCCTGTCACCTTCCATTCGTGCCTCTTTGAATTCTGCAGCACTGCTGGTCACAGCTGACCTCCAGTTAGAGCGCTCAAGGGCCAGGGCTTCCCAGTTCTCGGTGTCTATGCCACAGTTTTTAAGGTTGGCTTTAAGCCCATCTTTAAATCTCTTTTCCTGTCCTCCAATGTTATGTTTTCCATTCTTGAGTTGGGAGTAGAGTAACTGCTTTGGGAGATGGTGATCGGGCATTTGAACAACGTGGCCAGTTGAGTTGATGGCGTAGGAGCATTGCTTCAATGCTGGTGGTCTTTGCTTCTTCCAGAACACTGACATTTGTCTGCCTGTCTTCCCAAAAGATTTGCAGGATTTTTCAGAGGCAGCGCTTATGGAATTGTTGAGTACAAAAAGGGTTGCAAATCAGTTTTTGGTCAACTTTAGATTTGGTTTGATTATTTGCTGATTCAGAAAATTGTATTGGCTCAATCACATCAGCTCTAATTTCTGATACAGAACATATGCCATCCAGTAGTCGCCATCTGCTCCCCCACAGAAAACCATATTTAATAATTAGAGCCGCGTACCTTATTTTAGGTCTCATGGCCCACCAGTGGGCTGTGGCCCACAGGTTAGGAACCACTGGTTCAGAAGATTTCATGTCACTTTCTATCCCTGTGACAATTAGGTCTTGAAAATTTTGTGTTGTTGTGTAAACCAGAATTGGTGATAAAGCTTCAATGAAGACACCTTATTAAGGGGCTGAATTTCCCTTCCTGGGGGTAGTGCACAAGGAACGCAAAACACATTCAGGGAGGAAGCAATGGAAAATATTTTGACTGAGAATAGAGAAATCTCTTAATACGGATGTATTCGTGTGATTGAAAAGTTTGTTCAGACCTTTTCAGGATGATTTATTCACTTCAGAAAATAATTTCAAATTAAGCATACTCTAGTTGATCTGTGGATGCATAAATGCAGAAAGATAACGTTCTAGGAGCCCATGATTCAGTAAAGTAATATATAAATGAATAGAATTGTTGTTATTAATAATAATAATACACTAGATAGATAGATAGATAGATAGATAGATAGATAGATAGATAGATGGAGGGAGGGAGGGAGGGAGGGAGGGAGGGAGGGAGGGAGGGAGGGAGGAAACAGAGGAAAGTGAAAAGCGCATTTCTCTTGAAAATCACCTTCAGCTGTTGGGAAGTTTTCCCATGATATGAGATTAGGTCTAGGTCTTCAGATGGAGAGAGTGAAAGATAGATTGATTAATCCTTCGGAGAAAGGGTTTCCTTGAAATCCAGATGTGTGAGGCATGGCTCTTGGTCAGTCTTGAGCTTAAATTAAGTGGTGTTTACTTGGTGTCTCTTAGAAGAGACAACTATGCCATAAGGTGTAGGTTCCTGTATGACCTCTCCAGTTCATGATTCAAGTTTCCTCTGTTTGCCTATGTTCCTGGAAAGGTTTGTCTTGGACAAAGTTCCTGTTTTCATGCTCATGGATTTGTACGTGTGATTTTGACTCTCTTGACTTCATGTACTTGCTCTTTTTGAACTACTGCTCTTTTGTATATGGACTGCTGCTATTTTGTAGTTCCTTTTCTATTGCTCTTTTGGGAAATGCCCTTTTTCCATTTGTACATGCTTTTCTTAATAAACTGCTGTAGTTAGTACTACTGGACTCTGGTGTGGTGCTGGGTGAAAAGGTATCCCAAGGCTAGAGTGCAATAACAGCTTCTCTACAGGAATGAGATGGAATACAAAAACAAAAATTAGCATAAGAGAGAAAAGCAACAATATAGACTTCCACAGAATATGCACTACACAGTATAATGGTTCCCTCAATCTCCTCTGTATGTGGAATGCCACGTTCAGAATATGTGGCAGTCTAGATGTTGTTGGTCTCCATCTCATTTTTTTCACTCAACTTGAAAAGTATAATGGGATGTATAGTCCAACAGTCTCAGGTTTTCTACACATTCTGGCATGTGTACCTACCGACAAAGTAGCAACAAACCACTAAAATGCAGGTCTTCATACACACAAGTGGTCCAGACAACAAGTGAGACAACCTGGTGAGACAACAAGGAGAAGAAAGCAAGTTTAGGTTCACCTGCTTTGGCCAGCCTTTAATTGGCCAGCAATGGCCATCAGTACTACAACTGAAATGACAAACAGTTTCGGGGCCTCAGCCAGCCTGGAAACCAGACTGATAATCAAAATAACCAGCATCATCAAATAATGCCTGTAGGTGACCTAATATGGCGTTACCTTAACCAAATCAGATCAACAAGATGCTGGTCTATAATTTGCAAGTGTTTACTTCAATAATGACTTCTAAATCACAGCTTCTTTCAATGGGGACAAGAAAAACCCATCTTGAAGTGAAGCATTAGTCATAATTGTGATGGGACTTTCCCATATCTTTTGATCATGCGCTCACGTGTGAACTGGGCTCCCTAGATCAGAGATCAATCAGACTCTCGTCCTACAGTTTAGAGATAATCATAGAGTGTGTTTTGATTGTTTTTTATGGCGTAGGAGCACCAGATCAGTTCCATAATCATTAAATGACGAATAGAGCTGATCCGGCATAATGCTGTCTTGACCCATGTTACAAGGAGTTGCTGGATAATCCGAAAATTTAGGATTATCCAGTTACTTCAGATCCATGTAATCAACTGTGCCACTTCCCATTACACACCATCGATCTTTCTTTGCTCAGTCAGCCTCAAGAAAGGGGATGGCACCTTCTCTTGGAATGCCACTATCAAATGTGTCAAGAGGATCAGAGGTGGGTGCAATTCCTCCTCTTCCCAGTGTGCTGAATATCATCATTCCAAGCACTGAGAAGTGTTCAGTGTCTAATTGGCACTTTGGTGTTTGGTCAGCACTGCTAAGGTAATTTAGGCTGGATCTATACTGCCCTATATCCCAGGATCTGAACCCAGATTATCTGCTTATCCCAAATTATTTGGCAGTGTAGAATCATATAATCCAGTTCAAAGTAGACCAAATCCTGGGATATAGGGCAGTGTAGATCCAGCCTTAGAAGGGGCAAGTTACGAATGGTGGGTGAGTGACATCAAACAGGTTTTGGCACCACTCACCAATGCAGCTCTGGGACTGACGGTGGAGCTACCACCAAAGCTGATCTGGAATAGCCTACTCTGGGTCACAATCAGAGTAACTCTCCTGTCAAGATGTGATTGGATTTAGGCACATTCTACACTACCATATAATCCAGTTCAAAACAGATAATCTGGATTTGATATACAAACATAGAAGGGGCCTTACTCACACACCTTAGTCAGACTCCCTGGATCAGAGATCCATCAGAACCCCATGGTACAGTGAAGTATTAATCATATTTATGATTAGATTGATCTATATAACATATGTAGCTTGGATCTCACGGCTCTGAGACTACCCAGAGTTTTGTAATAAGATGGTGGT